TCCTCACCGTGCAACGCGAGAATCGTGGGCAATAGACCGTACGAGGCCCGTGTCACAGCATTCGTTCTTTAAGTTTTGCTTATCAGAGTCCAAAGCATGACCGAATGCACTACACACGCAGACGTTTACGCCCCACTGACATGGCCATCACGTGGATGACTATTTTATCTCAGAGATTGCACGCTAATACTGGATTCTCCGCCTCAACGCAGCCGAAGGCGCTCGAGGAAGAGGATACCTTGCTAGGCATACGCTATCATGGAAGGATTGACGAAACAGACTGCCGCGGGCCTGGTTTACCTTGAAACAGACGCAGAGGGAGAAGGGGAAGGTGATGAATACGAGAATGTAAGAAAGGAAAGTCAAGAGCGTCCCGCAGCAGCCAAGGTCATCGCCGCTCGAGTCTGTGGAGAATCGCGAGTACGAATACCTCTTCATTCTCGCTTTCACTTGGATACTGAGGTGAAGGAAGAAAGAGCAGAATACCTGCACGATACAAGTCTCCGGTCCCTGACCGGTGGAGCTGGGACTTCCGCACCCCGCCGTCCTCGTCCATGTTGACACCTATGTGGAATGGATGTAGCTTGGGATTGGGTTGCACTCTCGGCACCGAATGAATGAAATCTATCCCGAGTTCTGCGTTTCATACGAACACGCCCTCGCGCGTCACTTCTTCCGTCCTCCGCTTATCAGTGGCTGTCTAATGCACCGCCTGCAGGCGCACTTCCTTATCGATGTATCACATGCACACAGATGCCTTGTACATTCCGTTCCCTGCAGCCTCTCTATCTGCCGGGGAAAACCTGTACTTCAACCTATTACATTCGAGGGGTGGGCGTAACAATATCATGTGATGCCTTTTAGACTGAGACTCGGGTCACATGACAGTTTATGAGTCATAATTCCTTGAAAATTCATGACAGCGCCAGCAATCACATGATGGTCACACGTTCATGTACGTCATATACATTCTAACTGCAGTGACGTAGCGATGAGGAGTTGGGCTAACGACCCCCACCCTCCCCCCGGGACCAAGAAGTTACCAGCTCCCCCTTTAGCCTCACCTAACCCCGGCCACGCCACTGCTTGACTGGTGCATTCACTTAGATCAGAAACCGCATCGCCGTTTCCGGTCGAGCCTAGCTCATTATCCTGCAGCACAGCATGCTGAATGATGGACGCATCATCCAGAAGCAGTCCGTTAACGGACAGCAAAAATATACGTTGCTTTTGTGATGGGTCAAGATTCGCTTCACTTCCCTTCACTTTCCCCTGCCCTTCCTCGCTGCCAGCCGTAACAGGGTATAAAATGAACTGCTTGACTTGCCCTAAACTGCCTGTCAAGCTCATTCGCGCTGGGAGCATCTTCCTCCGCGGATTCTGCTCTATGCACTATACAACTACAGTCAATCAGCTGTAGGGCCTCCTCAACTAGTCTCATTTCAACTCATTTGCAGGCCTGTGAATCCTCCCCCCCCCCCCCCCCCCCCCCCCACCACGACTTGCATGTCCCCCCCCCCCCCCCCCCCCCCGCACTCATGCTTTTATTGGGAAATAATTATTTTCCTTGTTGAACTGACATCACCCCTTTTATTGTGACGATCACGTATTCCATTGCTCTCTTTTCCTGAAGAAACTTTCCCCCTTCATCATCCTCCGTAGATTTAAAAACCACAAACCGCTCAATCGCCACTTTTTTTAACCCCTTGAGCGGTATGACCGTACCAGCACGGCCATACGCTCCCGATCCCGCAGGAGTGTGGCCGTACCGGTACGTCCGGCATCTTCGAATTCAAATTGCCACATTTGTACAGATGCAGTCAGTTTGAGCTTAATTTGGAGGTTCCTGAATATGTCTCGCCTTAGTCAGTACTGCCATCTTCAAACTCGTATAGAATGTAACAAAAAAATTAAATACTAACCTTGGGGAGGTTCGTAAGAGAGGGTTTTCAGTATGACTCTCTCGCGGACAGATGCCCATTCCACGCCAATTCGACCATCTCAGATTTGGACGAAAATCGGCATACACTTGGAGGAATCGATTTAAAGAAACGAAATTCAACATTTTTTTTCTCTCTCACAGATCCCCAGATATATTAATTTAAATGTGACCTATTTTTGGCTCAGCGTCCACACAGACTGGAATTGTGAAACTGTTTCTAGAATACCTTCTCTTCTAGTTAAGATACAAGCTTACTCTGGTGTCATTTTAATTGTAAAACCACCATCTTTAATTTGATTCAAATTCAGTGGTCAATATCTACGCTTGCCACCTCGGGAATTCCCTGTTCCAATGCATTATTCAAAAGCGCATGGTATGTCATTTCTAACGACACCAAATTCGATATTGGCACTTTATAACTTCATGCGATATGAATATTTGATTGTAGCAGTGGTGCCAAAATTCCACTTGTTCGAACAGTTTGACCAACATTTGCACTTACCTCTCCAATAATCCGAATTTAAAAAAAAATCATTCGAAAGGGCATGCTATGCCCTTTCTAATGGTACCAAATTCAAGATTGGCAATCAATTAGTTCGTGAGATATGATCATTTGACGGCAGCAGTAGTGCCCAGAATCGAATGCTGGACATGGGGAATCATGGGAGTGTAGCCCTACCGTATGCCGTCCTGAGTAAAATTTTTAAACGGAATTTCCGATTTTACACATTTTTATCATTTTCCTTTTAGGCAAAATTGCAAAATATCGCATATAAATGCAATAAAATGCTTTCATTCTATTCTTTAAAGTAATTAATGAATTAAAGTTAGTTAATTAAAATAATTTTTTTTTGTTCTAACGTGCCTTTCTTTTTGCAAATTTGCATGCTAGATAAATAATAAAACATTTTTAAGCATAAAAGTCAGCAAAATTTTACTCATAGAGCGGCATAACATCGGGTGAAATTCCCATGACTCAGGTAGGTGCAGCTATATGTGCATTTTTGTTGCTGTCAAATGGTTATTTCTCAAGAACCAATCCAGCGTCAATCTTGAATTTGGGTACCATTAGGTACCGACAAATCGATTCTTCTACGAGTATACCGATTTTCCTCGAAATCGGAGATGGTCGAATTCACGCTCTGGTGGAATTAGCGTGGAATGACCTCCATTTCGAAAACTGAGAGAACGGAGGTGTGCTCCTGAAAAAACTCACTCCTGGGGGCACGCACAGTCACCTGTCACAGGCACCAAAAACTCATCGCTCAAAAGGGTAAAAATAGTTTTCGCTACAGCATCCAAGTCACACTTCTAGTAAAAGCAGCAATGCTTCTGCTGTACTGAACATTCCAAACCAATCTCAAAAATAGAGATAGTTTCCATTCAATCCAGCTTTCTGTAAATGCACTGAAATTTTTGCTGGGCATCATGCTGTATCTGGCTACCGTGCAGCAATTTTCTTGCAGCGTTCTTGGATTGCATTCCAACAGCTAGACAGCAGCTACGTGGGGCATTCAAAAAGTCTTGGAAGTGAGCATATACGAAAGGAGTGGTTTGTATCTGGGTTGATTTGTTGATAGTGGCATATACAAGTGACATTGACTCTTGTCAAGAAATAATAACTATCTGTATCTATATTGTAGGCTGTGTACTAGTTCAGCAAAAAAGTGTCCGTTTTGACTGTGGCCTAAAAATATGGAATTTAACAAAGAGAGTGAACGATACTATGTCTTTACCCGGATGAAACTCGGAGATAATGCAAGCCAGATTCATGTTGATCTACAGCGTGTGCACGGGGACAAATGTTCTTCATTCAACACGTTGCCCGATGGATACATGAATTTAATAGTGGTAGAGACACTCTGCCAAGACCAGCCACGTGAAGGACACCCGAAATCAGCCGTGAACGAGAAAAACACAGATCGTGTCAGAGGCATTTTGCAGGCTAAACCCAAGTGTAACCATTGAAACATTAGAGGACGAGTGTGGACTAAGTGCTGGCTCAATTTCAAACATTTTACACAATGAGCTGAATGTTAGGAAGATATGTGCAAAGCCACACCAGCTGACTGCAGAACAGAAGGCAAAACGAGTGCAGTTTTCACATGAAAACTTGGAACTGTTCGATCCTAATGGTTCCAAACGTTTGACTGATATTGCTACAGGTGATGAGAGCTGGTTCTACTACTACACAGTGCCCAACAAGACAGACAACACGGTGTGGCTGGCTGAAAATGAGCCCTGGCCAAAGATTCTGCAACAGGATTTCCAGTCAAATAAACGCCTGCTCACAATGTTTTTTTTGACTATGAAGGCCCTCTGTTGGTGGATGTTCTACCTGAGAAGCAGACAATGACTGGTAATTACTACACGAACAATATCCTTCCTGAACTCTGCAAATCAATCACAGAAAAGAAACCCACAGTTGGCACATCCCGCACACAGCTTTTGCACAATGCATCAAGCCACAAGACGGCTGCTGTACAACAGTACCCGGAGGAGCAGAAAGTCCGTGTCATTGCCCATCCACCCTACTCTCCTGACCTGGCACCCTGTGATTTCTGGCTTTTTTCTAGAATCAAAAGGGAGTTGGCTGGAAAGCAATTTTCTCGTGTGCAGGATCTCTCCATGGCTGTCAATTCACAGTTGGCAAGTATACCTCAGGAAGAGTACTGTGGAGCATTTGACACATTTCTGACCCGTTTGAACAAATACATGGCAGCTGCCAGTGACTATTTCGAATAACTAAAGGCAAAAAAAAAATATTGCTTCATTCATTAATGCCTATGTGGCAGGGTCACTTTCAAGACATTTTGAATGCCCCACGTAGATAAGATTTTCCAGTACAACATGAGCATGAAGTAGCCCTAACCAGTCACATGTGGCCACTGAAAAGACAGGAAACTAGGGAAAATAGCAAATAATTTATTCTGGACAAGATGAGTCCTTGAAGAAAAGTAATATAAAAAAAACATACATGCTGCCACATGATGCAACATTCTCTCATGTCAAAAAGGAAAAGCAACAACCAATTACTTAATAAATATTAAAGATAGGTACCTGGCAAGACTGGAATGAGCAGGTTTGGAAGAGAGGAATGTGCTGATTTTGCCTTTTTGTTTTGCATCAATACACGAGCAGGATAATGTATTTACCAGGATGATATCACACAACATGGGAATGCATGGGGGGCAGAGAGGAAGAGGAAGATGGGACAGGGTTGCTGAGTCCAGTGCGAACAAGCTTGGCCTCTCGTAGTACTGCATTCCCAATCCCTCTCCTTTCCACTGACCCTTCTCCCTGTCCCCCTTGTTGTGGGTGACGAGGGTGATTTTGCTGGTGCATCCGCTGTCAACAACATGTTTCTCAGGGATATGAGATGGAAACAGCATCATGCCAATCACTCTTTACTGAAAGGGGTCAAAGGAAGGACTGAAAGCAAAAAGTTTGACTGAGATTTTTTTTCTATCAAGGGTGACAAAAAACGATCTATGATTAAAAGTTTCCATGGATAAGAGTGAGGATGCTCCATTTTTCACCACTTCAGTTTAATTGCCTTAATGGAAAGAGGGCTCAGCTTTTCATATCCATTTCAATAAAGTGGGAATACACATACTGGTATTCTTCAATGGATTTTCATACCAAAGATAGTAATTTCAAGGACTGGGAAATGATAAACACTGTCCATCTCCAATATTTGGAATCCTATTTGTAAATGCAGTTTGCAATTATGAATGACCTGACAAATAATATATGAGAAAGTTGAAGAGAGAGAGAGAGAGAGAGAGAGAGAGATAAGCTGGAGTTGAAGCCTTCTTACCTTGGCCCAGATGCGGAGGTCCTTGGGAAGAGGAGTGGGGTTTCGAATGAGTCCATGATGGTGTTCTTCAAGGAGTCCCCCATTAAATGTAACCCCCTGGCTCAAGCTTCTCCGGCATCCAGGTTTGCCTGACACCACAACTCAATTAATACAATACTTCAAATGCAAATTAACAAGTACCAATTGTCAAATTGCAATGGATTTGGCACATGTGAGTCAATAGAATAGTGGAGCTTTTTTAAAATGTATTTCAAAGATCTCAATAATTACAAGTTACATGTTTCTAATGGCATACAGAGAAGCCCTTTGGAGCAGCAAGGGCAACAAAATCCTCACTTTGATGGATTATTAGGATCAACACCCATGATATTTTTACATGCTAGAATAAATCACTCATTCCTATCTTACCTGCCCCTACCCCACACCCCACTGAGTAATTGAGTATTGAATAATTCATAACTTTCTAGAATCCTCCTGTTAGTTATGACCACCATAAGTGAAAGATTTACTGACTGAATCTTCCAGCAAAAACTGGAAGTATCCAAAACAATCTTGGCAGATGTTTAGTTAGTTAAAGCAAAATTAATTTTGTCTTGAGACTCTTTTGCAGTCCAAAAATTAAACTTTGGTGCATCAATTGAAGAAAATGATGCCATTTGCCATTTCAAACCTTTTTTTTGGAAACAAGTCATTTCTGGATTTCATTATCAGAAGGTCATAACTCTTGGCCTTTGAGATTTGCTTTCATTCTAACTCCATGAAAGACATGTCAAAGGGGCATCCAAAGAGCTTCAAAATGATACTAATTTGATCTCTCTAAGTTAATGACAAAACCAATGGACACTCAAGTCATGTCCAAAAGACTGAAATTGGTAATTTTAAGATATCAAATTGCTGTCCCTCAAACAGTTTTTGCTCTTGGGAGTTGAAATTTGGTGTCCAATGGTTTTGTCTTTATCAATTTATAGAGATGAAATTAGTATAATTATGAAGCTCTTTGACCTGTCTTTCATGGAGTTTCAGAGATGGACAAAGAGAGACCTTTAAAAACACCCTTATAGGAAAAAAGCACTGCCACTTTCTGCAGCTTAGAGCTTGCATGAAGACTTGGGCACAAAGACCTTTGCAGAAAAGGGTCTTCAACTCTCTATCAGACTTGTTGGGGTATACTTGACAAAAGAATGCAAAGGGTTAATTGAGTACAGAATATCAGTAGTGGTGGATCCTGGTTGTGGAAGGTTGTCATCACTAATTTCTTCCAAAAATATGGTGAAAGCAGTCTCCAAAAATCAGCAAGAGAAACATCAACCAGATTCAGCTTTCCCAAGAAACTGATGATGAAGGTCTTCCACAACCATGAGCCACCCCAGCCGATGTTTTGTCCTCACTGAAGTCTTTGTGCCAGTACTGCGCAATGCATAGGATAAAATTGCATACTCCTGCTGCACCTTGCAAATGAGTGAAATCCCTTGAGATAATGCACAAATGACCGTTACAAATTAGCCTCTAAAAGTAGGCCTATACTATGGAGCAATGTTATGTTAACAAGGTGGTAGGTAAGTGATCCTAAAGTATGCTCAAGCTCTGCCTTCTGCTTTGGTTGGAACATTCATACTGGAGCATACTTACAATTTTTTTAATACCTCTCATACATCATCCTAGCTCAGAGATGCATACAAACATAAGAGAATGACTGAAGAAACATACCTGTATCAAGTCTGAGATGAGAGAGATCTTCCTCGGAGGGATGCTGTGGGAGAAGAACACATGTGAGGGCCCTCTGACCTGTTTTTGGATCCACCACTGATCGCAATGGCACCAATGGATTCCTTTGCACACTTGACAACCACATGGCCTGTTAAAAAGTTAAAAACCATGTATAATCTACATCTTTCATCTCAATTTTCAAAGGATGAATGAGACAGGCAATTGCAAAATATTAGGTACAATATCTAATTTTTCAATTATACATATAGTACATGGATCTACATCACCAACACAGATTTTTATTTTGTGACTACTCTGGTGTTACCTTATGACAAATATCCTAAATTTATTTTGCAGGTTTCAGTTGGATACATAACATCACTTCAGTTTACACATTTGCAAAAGAACACCCTTCTAGCAGTTCCAGGAGTAGGAGATGGGTGTCTATGCTAGGCAAATGCTTGAGTATGTTACTGCACAATGAGCATTGTATGTACCTTTCTGATGTCACATGGATCTGCAAGGAATACACAATCACTTTGGCAATACATAAAAAAACCATCTCACCAAATCAATGTTGAGCAAAAAGCATGAATGAACCAATTCATAACCTTGCTTTATTTACAAGGTCCTATCTTAGTCATCTTCCAAAGAGTCAACATTCATTAGGAATAAACCCATGTCAGCAGATGATTTTCTCATGTACACATGGAGATTGAGTCAAATAAGCCAAGGCATCATTAAAGGAACTGCTGCATTTAGTGCTGGATGTGAATAGAAATGTTTTTTGTTTTGAATTGCTTTGATCATCGTAATAGGAAATTTTCTTCCATGTTTACCAAGTTCTACTTCCCACACTAATGCAGCATTCCCTAGCAAGTTTTTTGGGTTCTCTTTAAGAGATCAATGATAAAACGGCAAAAAGGAAATAATTGTCAATAACTGTTAGTGCCTGAGCAAATATGCATCCCAATTTCACAGTCAATCTTCAGAAAGGTATTACAGGCCATGTAAATATTTTTCTCATCTCCTTTTTCCTCATGTATTGTTTCTGCATAAGAGTCCAGTCCTGTTTTTTTGACAGAGCACAAGTGCTATTGCACTTGTGATATGAATTCAGCTGCTATGAATTCCAACATCAATGTAAACTTGAAATATGTAGATCCATGTAAGAAAGTAGCAGGAAAAAGCTCTCAGGATGGTTGAATGATAAAATGTATCAACTGCATTCTTTTTCAATTCCAATGAAGGAATTTTAACCCCATAAAGGCCTGCATTCCTTCACAACCTCCTTCCCAGCTTTATTTCTTTTGGAATTGGGAAGGAAATGTTATAGGTTGTTCTTGTTAAGCAAATATTGAGTATAATAGAGCACATAGTGTTACCTTGTACAAACGCCTGGATGGGATTATCCCAAGGATGATTCCCTTAAAATGATTTATCTTCAGTAAACAATCTCCATTCTTCAAATGGTGAGTAAGGTTCAGTATACACCTGGTATAGATCCAAAATAAGACAAGACTGATGTGGTAGAGACCTGGAGGTGATGGAGTCGGGTGATGGCACATGGGAGAAAGTGGATGGCATTGCCCTGAAGCCTCAAGACTCCAAGGGATTGAAGATGGCCCAGTTCTGATGGAAGGGAACCCAGGGCATTGTATGCCACACTCAATATCTGAAGCCCCACACAACTTCCCAGTTCTATGAATAAGGTGATGCTCATTGATCTGAATCACAAACTATAGAGACTACAATGAAAAATACTGGCCCTTACCTGGTGGAATGAAAGAGAGAGCATTGTAGTCAGCCTGGAGCATTCGGAGGGAATGAAGGAATCCAATGGTAGATGGGAGGATAGTGAGGCGATTGTGACTTAGGTCCAGCTCCTCCAGACGTGACAAGGACCCAATACTTTCAGGTAGGGCTATCAGACCATTCTTCCTCAGGTCAAGGGTCACCAGGTTGTGCAAGGATCCTACTGAATCTGGAATGCACTAAAGACAGGAACCTCTCATGCTTACTCTTTCACATTTTCAGGGTTGAGGGATTACAGAACTCTGTACTTACAGAAAGTTGATTCGATGAGAGACGTAGGGATTCAAGAGGCAAGCAGAATCCAATGTCAGAACCAACTTCTTTGATTGAGTTATCACTGGCATCCAGGTGACACAGCTCTTTCAGGCCAGACAATATCACCTGAATGTACAATAGGGATAAAACGGATGAATTTTAGGCAAAAAGAAAACAACAAAAAGCTAACTAATGACTAAGTCCACACTAAACAGAAGGAAAGTCCAGCAATCTTACAGATGGGATGCTCTGAATGAGATTACTATCACACCAGAGCTCTTTCAAGGCTCCCAGACTCCCAACTGCATCAGGCTAAATGGGAAAAAAAGGAAAGGAAGTGAAATGAAAAATATATTGGAAGAGGAAACACTTTCCACTCTATAACAGCACTGTAAGTCCTTCCAGAGGTAATATATACTTTTCTAATGTTTTTCATGGTTCTCAATCTCAACTGACTGATTTCACAAGAAATAAATAAGAATAAATATAGGAAGGTAGCTCAATGATCATCCATTGTGAGAAATAAGCCTAGCATAATGCTCTGCTCTTCATGCTGGGTTTCATTCAATCTTTTCTTCTGCATTTAGTACATTATTGATATAAGTAAGAACAGCTTTCAAATTTACTTCACAAGTACAGTCTCTTAATAAAAACAGGAGGGCTCTCATACTTTAGTGGAATTACTATAAAAAATGTATTCTAGGTCTTAGTCTACTAATGAGACCCACATCCCAAGCCAGAGTTATTTTCAAACAATCCTCTCTACAGCAATATGTTGCCTAAAACATGTTTAAATGCTCACTGGCAGTAGAACTTGAAAGTGGAATGAACTTACAAGAGCCTCAAAATGGTTCTGTCCAATGTCAAGGCGTGTAAGGAGGTAAAGCCGTGAAAGCGAGCGAGGTAGATTGTCCAGGCAATTATCCCGCACCTCAAGGATACGTAATCGCAGCAAGCGACCAAAGCTGGCTGGTAAGAACTCCAACAGTGTTCCATTGAGATAAAGCTCCTCCAATGACAGGATTTGAGTCACTGCTTCAGGAAGGGATCCCAAGGGATTGAGGGATAGGTCCAGGGTGCTCAGGGATCGACAGCATTTTATGCTCTCTGGCAGCGTGTATAAAGCTGAAGATAGAATAGAAATGCATTAAATAAGGTATCAAATCCCAAATCCTTGGCTGGTTGTCTGCCAGTACTCAACATCTTCATGAATAGATGATGGTTTTATATATTCACAAACTGACCATTCTTGCTGACATCAAGGTGTTTCAGAGAGAGCAAAGATGCAATAGCATGAGGAAGCTCCATAAGCTCATTGTCACTGAGATTCAAGAGAGTTAGACTTTGGCAGTGGAACAGGGCACGAGGAAGCTCTCTGATCTGCAAAAGAAAATCAGCACATTTATGTCTTCACAGCAAATTAGAATTCAGAGACAATTTAGGACATTCACAAGAGCCTCATTCTGTTAACAGTTGTTGGAAGCTAATTGTCATCTGTAAGCATTGCAGCCAGGTTAGATTGGACATTTCTAAAATCCTTCATGTCACTTCTACACAAGGTCTATCAATGGGTGCATGGCAACAGAGAACAAAAATTGCACCGTAGCTTAATTATTGGGAGTACCAGGAAACATCGGGAAAGAGTTATACAAATGAAACAAACTTCTGGGCATTGCTGACAGTATGATTTTTCAAACAAATCCCAACTGCCTGGGCCTGTATTGATACTGAACTCATACCTATAGAGCCCATCTCATTATTGAATCTATTCCAGTTATGGCATTGAAGAAGTGCTGCTCACTATTTTTAGGGAGCAGCAACTTTGCAATGCCCGTCAATAGGAAGAAACAGAAATCAAGAAAATTGTCTGGGCAATAGAGGCCTAGCTTTTAGTTTGGATATCTGGAATTTTTTCTTTCTCCCACCATGGAGAGGTATTCCTAGAAACTTAAAATATACTTCTTTTTTTTTCTTGTCTTGAGTAACTAGAGTCTGCTTGATATCACTCTTCTAGGTGCATCCAAAGGATGATAATACTACATGCTGCTCTAGGTTGTGATAAGTACTGAAAAAAAAAAGGGCTTCAACCCAATATTGACTACCATCCCCACAGATATCTGCACAGTGAGTACTCACATGAGGAGCCATGAAAGAATGGCTTCATTCTCTCTAGCTGAAAAATGAAACTTTATATTCATTGCTAACAAAATATTTAGCTTCAAGAGTTAACTTAGGCCAAAATTTAAGTCCTATTAAAATATCAGTATGAAACAAGCCCTTTGACTGCAATTAAGTATGTTAGAAACTGAATGTTGACAAAGGCAATAAGAGGCAATTGCAGGCTCAGGTGATTAGTGCTTTTCACTTGAGTTAGACAATTTTTCCATGTAATTCAGACAGTGTTGAAGTCAAGTGAAAAAAACTGTAAAACGGCTAAACCTAGGAAAGCGTCCAACATGCTGCAATTTCAGACAACTGCTAGCTAAACTGGCCAATCATAAGCCTACAGGAGAGTTTCCAATTGAAATTTCCATGCTGAGGTGGGACATCAAACTACATTAATGACCCTATGAAGTATGATCTAAGGCAAGTCGCTTATTCATAGAATGCAAGCCTGCAATACCTGGTTGCATGCGAGGTATAGCTCCTCCAAAGTTCTTTCGTTGAGAAATACGGAATCAGGAAGACATGTGAGTTGGCAATGAATGAAATTGAGGACTTGGGCTTCTTCCACCTCTTGCTTTCCCCAACAAAGGGTCTGCCGCAACCATCGAAGACGTGGCATATAACAACTCCACAGATGCCTGCTCTTCACAGAGCTTCGGCACGTCCACGCAAGTTGCACAGTTTACAGACAATTAAATTTCTCTCCATAGGCTAGCTATTTCCCAACGCCAGCGTTGAGTAACCAAAGCCTATATATATCCTTTCCGAGCAAATAGATGCATTCTACAGAAGGGATCAAACCAAAGGTCACTTGAACGACAACTGCATCAAAAACTTAGTGCAAAAAGAGAAAAATTAGAAAACGCCCAACAGACTGATGGCCTCATCGCTGGGTCGCATGGGAGTATTGAAGTTGCAAACAGTGATGTAAAATTTTACATTTTTTCTAGCGCCTCCTCTCAATACTGATCAACTTCTATTCCATCCTCCTTTACTCTCAGACAATCTGTTAAACGATTTGGCTGTCGATGAAGCACACAAAATGACAATATGCTATCATGCTAATCACAACTTGTAAACAGGGATAAAAGTAACAGTCGGGCTATTTGCTTCAGGCGTATTTCGAGGTCAGCGAGTTACTGTTCTGAAGACCTCACCAGCTGCAAAGAGAGCTCTTTCCACAATATGACTGAATTAATACACTTCTGGTGCTACACTCTCAAGTTAACAATACCAGGCCCAAGTGAAATGCAAGTCGTGGCGACTATGAAATAAACTACTCATTCTTCGAAGACAATGCTAACTCGTATCCTGGAGATTCAAGGGGAAGATGGCGCCCTTCAGTCGTCGTTGTGATGTCATGTATATATCCGTGATCATCCGTGATCTGGAGATAGCCTCGTAGGCTTAAGCCTCCTCACATTTGGAGGATCGTAACCCTACACTGTTTTCGGATTGAACTGGGTCCTCTTCCCATCCCAACCCCGGGTTGTAGAATACGGAGAAAGCACTACTTTCATGTCATGAGATCCGCTTCATTAGGTAATCCACGAAACACCCTTTAGAAAGATGCCTCTACCTGGAATCGATGGAAGCGCTCCAAGCGGGGATACCAATTCAGTCCGACCACAGAGTAGTCTACATGTCCACGACCCCGTTTCAGAATCCTATAGCGTTAAACCTTCGACTTGTCTTCCAAGGGAATTTTCACCAATTTAAACGCGTGCATCTGCCCTCGCGTAGGTCGCTATCATCCACTCGACTTGGCTGGCTCTTTCCTTAGAGTAAAGGTACCATTTTCTCAGCACTTAATGTATATTGGGAGTGTTACGACTGCCCCAGCGGTTTCATAGGTATGGTTCCCTCAACTGACATTCAGCAATTAAGCCTAAGCCAAACTCTATTCTTATGAAGATGGAGTCTGGCATAACATTCTCCTCAGAGTATGATAGGAAGAAATAAAGTGAGAATTTGTATTTCATAAGTTGATGTAAATACTCACATGCAAACCATACATTTTTAGAGAAAATTTAATGTGGGCCTCAAAGACTCATGAGTGATTAGCCAGTGCCATTTATGTTAGGCAGTCACTGATGAAAATGTTAGATTTCAACCGCTTTCTCTGAGTTCAGAGTGACGATAGGAAAGAAAGGGAAAATTTGGAATGACAAATGGCTTCATGTATATCATAGGAAAAAAATTGTGAATATAAACATTTTTTGAGCCAGGAAAATGTCACTATCCATATGTCATACAGTAAATAGAAACCTAATTGGTCTCAATGAAGTTCTTGACATGGCATCTTATTTCAGCAGAAGGAATTTCCCTCATTGTTTTCAATCAATCCTGACCTGACATAGAAACTGATGGAAGCAATGGAAGAAGTGTTAATATGGGAGCCATTGCCTTATCCTCAATTCCAAAGTAGTTTCAAACCACCACCTGGGAAATATGGATGGCAAAATCAATTTCTTCAACTTTACTAATTCACACTTTAACAAAATATATATTTTACATGTTACAATAATACACCTATTACTATTCCATTCAATTAAATACCTCATGTTGTCTGAGAAATTTTGAACCTCTCCAATTATGCATTCATAAAAAAGGGCAAAAATAATCTTCATCTATATTCCTTGACAAGGAAGTTCCCACTTTCTTTCAAGCTTTGCATTTAGTTCTGGGGTTGAAATATGCAAGCATTTATATCAGTGATGTTGCACCAAAATCCCCTAGAATAGTCTGTCTTTTTTCTGTCTCTTACTTGACCTCAATTAGGAAATATTCTCAAAAGGCATTTCATATTGTAGATGGAAAGGAGATGATGAATCATTGCAAAGAAGAAGTCTCAAGGCATTCGCTCAAAACTGAACACGTGTTCATGACAGATCTCATGATTTCATCACAATAATCTTCAACAGCAGTGTAACATCAGTCTGTTGCATAGTGGCTCAAGTACGAACTTGGATATTGTAAAAACATGTTGGAACCAATCAACATTGCACATATTGCAGCTATTGCTTTCTCCATCATCGGTGGTGAGTGTGCAACTGAACCTCAACCCAGGCTGACATACCCTGACAAGGTATGTCAGGAATGTAACAAAAATGAATTTCTGACTAACTTAGTTCCTTTCTCATGCAGTTGGTGGAGTGGATTTTGGAAACAGATGCAAAAAAGAAAACTTCCTAGGATTCACTGAGTACTACACATGTCCTGGTCCTGGTGATCCCAGTTCTTATCGGTTCTGTTGCGGAGACAAGTATGGCGCCCGCTGCTGTGAACGGTTCATGGGCATCTTTGATGCAAAGGATGTAGACCACTTCATTGACAAGTCAGTAGATCACGATGGACAACTTTTTTGTTCCATTATTGGTAATGAAAATATGGCTATTTAATCAGCAAATCAAATGATTTCAACAATGGGAAACCACTTAGGATGAAAATCAAGGAACTTCTGTCGTGGGACCATTGCTGGAAGAAAGCTCCAGTCTGGTTACAACTTTTTGGACCAAAAGGGAAAATTTTCTTTTTAGGATTATGGTCATAAAATTCTGTTTGACTTACACTCCAATAGTAATACTGGTAGGGGTATGAAGTGTATCATAGTAATGGCTGAATGGAATGCAGGAATAAGAGCATCAAAGAAGTGGAGAGAGATTTACCCCCAGTAGACCTACATCGTATCAAAAGGGGCATCTCCAAAGTCAAGAAGTTTCCAAAGCTGTAAGTCAGCAAACTGGAAGATTTCCAGTAAAAAATAATCAAATCCTTGTCTTGTTTTTAACCCTTTGATGAGATGCCCACATTTATATGGGCTGACATCCTCCTGCCCTCCATGTATTCACTACAGGTGATCTAGGCATTACAAAAAAACCCACTCCTCAAAGGGTTAAATTGCATGATGCTACGAGCTCGGTGTGCCCTCTTGTGGCATTCCAAATTCATTCAAGAGGTGATATCTCTGTGGTTGCAGCATTGGGACATACATTGCAGTAGCAGTCTTCATCTTCCTGGGTCTAGTCGTTGCTGTTATCTTGTGCTGTTGCTTCTGCTCCTGCTGTTTCCTCAACAAAATAAGACGACGAAGTGAGTCTTTTTGAGCTCTCTGTCTTCTGAAAGCTTGGAACAGTTTCTTCATCCATTGTTATTGAAAATTTTAACATGTAATGTAGACCAATATATTTTCTCTCTCTTTTTTTATTTTTGAAGATATTGGAATAACCCCTGAAAAGACATCAGAAAAGGATTTTTTCATAGTAATTTTGGAGTCTGTTTAGCAGCTGTATTTCCTGAGGCAAGCATTTTTGGAAAGCTTGACTAATGAATTTTGTCAGATGTTATTTTCTGAAGAGTTTTATTATGGGGAAATCCTTCCACATGAATGAAGATGGCAATGGGAGACAGTGATATTGAATCAGAATGTATTCTAGGGCAAGCAAGAAATAGCCAGGGTGGAGGATCATACTGCCAACAGTCTGCTGGAGCCCAAATGTATCCCATACAAGTAAATCCTCAACAGACACCTAACCCACCCTACTCGTCTCCACCTCCTAACCCAACGTATCCCACCTATCCTGCTTATCCTACTCAGTATCCAAGTGAGTTTTTTTTACTGCAGTATTAAAATGAAAAAATATACATATACTTTCTTGACAAGTCACTTTGAATATGAAGCACTAAAAAAGCATTTTCCCTGTGCATTACAGGCAACCCCCCACCATACTCTGAGGTGCAGAAGCAGCCACCCTACAACCCTAACTATTATCCGGGTGCCTAAACATCCTCAGCCATCACCAACAATACTCACATCTGCATTTCAAACTGAAACCAATGCATTTCAAGTTGGAATTCATGCATTTTTGAACTGATCTACCTAAGATGAATGATCTGTGGGAATCTCCTTACTTTCTTGTTTCTTTAGTTTTTATAAATGTTTATGCTTACTGACACATTGTGGCAATTGCTTATTTAAATGGATATTTCATGAAGTGTGATAAATGTTCTGTGGATTCAGAGCTGCTTTGTTCTTACTCCTGGGTCTTTTGCAATCTGTCATTTCATTTGAAAATAAAGGAGTGGAATGCAATGACTTTAAGAGTATCTATTTATGTTTGGGCCCACTTGAGGGACAGTGATGTCCCCCCCCAATCTCTCTCTATTGCCATCCTGATAGTCTCAGAAAGAAACTAGATGGAGAGATCAATTGAAGGGCTGAAAGGCTAAGTGGTCTTTCTACAAAAAATATCAGAGAAAAGTATATTGATACATATACCCTTTTCCCTTTCATTAAAGTTTTAGTTTTAGGGACATATGTAAAGGAGAAACTGGTCTTCAGTGCATATCATTTGGACTCGCTTCCAAACTAGTCCACTGGACCATCCCTACCATTAACCTAGACTTCTTAGCAGAATAGATGGAAAACAGCAGCAAAAAAAAGGGGCTCTCAATCCCGTTTTTACATATCTCTCTCCTATCACCTGGGAATTAAAATGTAATGGGGGAAAACTACCAGTTTCTTTCAATCTTCTCACTTTTCTGGAATTGGATAATGGGGATTGCTTTTGTCAGAGATTTTCTACATTCATCTCCTGTCAATTTCATCCATTGCTGCCATTGGAACCTCAACAAGTTTCTTACCACTCTTGTGATTAAGTTCTTCTTGGCATGATCTGATAAGGGAGGAGAAGCCTTTTTTGTGAATTAAGGCCCAATAAAATTAAGGATGTCTTCTAAATGGCTGGTTGAAAGAACTAAGTGACTCCCAATTTGCTTGGGGGCAGGGGGAAGTGAAGGCATTTTGCAGTAAATTGGTAGTGCAGTTTTCTTCACCATGAAAAAAGGAAAATGTGTGGTCACTAAGTCAGGACTGCAATCGTCCAGATAAAATCCTCGATCCCCTGAAGTCCATTTTAGCAAGAGTTGACTGCAATCTGATGTAAACTAGCTTTCCTGGGTGCACTTACAAGAAATGCCAGAGCTGGAAAGAAGACACCCCATTGGGAAATGGGGATCTATGCTTGCACTCAAGCAACATCAAGCCAGCCTCAATTACACTGGCATGGATCCATAGGCATAGAATAGACCTGAAACTCCAATTTCACCAATCCTCTACAAAATTGACAAGGTTTACCCCAGATAAATATAATGCATTCCACATATGCCTTAGCTTTTAAAATTTCACTACAATTGATGCTGTAAATCATGTGTTTCTTTTAGATACAGGTAAAGAATCAAAGAATCATAGGCCTCATGATAAAGTCTACTTATACAATGGTAGAAATCTTGCAATTAATGCAATACCTGAGAGGGAGAACTGCATTCCATGGGTTCTACAGGGTGTCCACAAAGTCACACATCGTAGGGAAAACATTTATTTGTAAGGATGGTTACATCAATTGTTCAAAATGCATCCCACCAATCTCAAAACATGTTTGTAAGCGGAAAAGCAGGTTTTTTTAATGTTGCTCAACATATCTGGACTGATGGAGCTGACTTCATTTCATATTTGTTGTTTGAGATGTTCCAAATCTGTTCATTTCACCAAACAAACTTGTGATTTCAAATATCCCCAGACAGCAAAATCCATGGGATTTAAGCTATTTGCCATGATTTCCTAAAAGAAAACTAAAATTAAATAAAATAACTATTTCACTATGATGCATGACTTTGTGGACACCCTGTAGAGGGTGTTCAGATGTCCTGCAACCCACATACTTGAGTTCCTCAGTAGCATGTACTGAGGTGAACAAGCAACATCATGAAAGCATGGCTTCATCACAGTATTCCATAACACTGTCAAATCTGAACAGTGCATTGGGATGGTTCAGCTGTTTTTTGCAACCTTATAGTGATGAAGAACATGAGGAAGCATGATTCCAGCAGGATAATGCAATAACTTAAACCACTCATACAGCAATGAGGTACTGCAAGTCTTTTTCCCTAACAACTAATATCATCAGGGCTGTGGCCTCCAGTTCCCTGACCTGCCACCTCTAAACTGCTTCTGATGGTGTTGTCTGAAATACTGCCAACAAGATGCACCCACATTCATTGGCTGAACTGGAACATATTGAAATTTAATTTGTTCATCAATTCACAGAATCAACATGGATACACTGGGGCATGTTTCATAACACAATTTTTTCAAGTTCATCTTTTCCAGGAGCAACGAGACCACTCCCAATACCTCTTGTATTAATTAGAAAAAAAACAGTTACCTATGCCAAGGGTTGTACAGCATTTTAAACATCCTGTAGTTGAAGCCTTACATGATAATGAACATTTCCATCTTCTTTTGGATGAATATGAAGACATGTAGAAATGTTTGGATTTCATGGAAAACTAGGAGAGTTACAAGCCAGGAGATAGAACTGAAAGTACTGGAATGCTGCAACATGTAGAGCTTGTTGCAGGGTAACAGCTGGCTTAATCCCCTAATTCACATACTGGGAGCAGAAGGAAAATGGGATATGACCTATCTTTCATGAACTTGTTCTTGTATTCCTAGCCTTCAGATGTGATGAGGCAAAATGGTTTTCATTGTGGCTGTTATATAGTAGCTGGTTCAACTATGAAAGAAGACATGTGAAAATATTTCTCTCCCTGAGTAATAGAGAAGGTATTGCATTGGATGAGATATTTTCTCGAAATTTTTTCTGTGAATGGCAGGTGAGCAGTGCAACCAATAAACCAGAGTCTACTCATCCAAACCAGAGTCTAGTCATCCTTCCTAGAGGAATCATGCTTGACAGATTATGAAAACCTCTGAGTAGTGGAATTGTGGACTTCATTGAGAAGGTCTCCATCCAAAACAACATTTCACAGCACTGATTCAATGCCCTATGAGACAAGATGCTCTAAAAGATCAATTGTACTCCTAAGCACGACCAAGATAAAAGAGGGGCTTGTCTCTCAAACTCGTATGGGATGTATACAGAACACCAAAGGCTATCACATTCCAGAACAAGGAGAGACACAGAGGAAGAGAACCCTGATTGAGCAGAATCTTCACTAGACTTTGACCAGATGAAAAAAGGGGGGCACAATTTATCTTTGGACTCAACATCACGGTGAGACAGGTAACATGATGAAGTGCACAAAAAAATTCATTTAAAACAAGGCAATCCTGTTTACTGGAACACACAAATTTTGGAAATACACCCTGTCACTGAAGACAAGATTGTGTTACAGTCTCACATAGCATCAACAAATTGGCTTTTCAACACGTTTGCTACCAGAATATAATTAAGTGATTTTCTCAAAGATTGAACAGTTAGTAAACTTTTTGCAAGGAAAAGAGATGTGAATCTCCAGTATTTGCAACAACCATATAGATTAAAAAAAAAAAAGGATATTATCTTGCTAGTACATAAACTGTGGCATAAATATGACAATAAGATTTGTCAGAAAATTTAAGTTGTGGCATATCCATGAGAAACTTTTCATCAAGTCATACCAAAAGAAAATTGATCAACAGTCAATTCAACGATGAGCAAAAACCAAGATTTTTTTTTATCAATGAGTCTAAATCAAGGTCAGTAAAAATGTAGAAATCATAAATTTTCTTCATTTTCACATAGTTCATGATATCAGAATCTATTCCTGTAAAATCAATACAGAGACTGTGCAACAAAATCTAACCATCTCTACAAGTTAGCACTTCATGAGAAATCAGTCTCAATACTCAAAGACACCATGCACTTGCAACGTGAGTCAGTCTGATAAAAAAAAAACACTATGTTGCATATGCAACATGCAGTAGCAAACGTGTTAAAATAATAACAGAGATTCACCATTCTTGTAACTTTTGTTTGAAATCAGATCATCAACAACATCCAATGGACATTTCTTTTAAAGAATAATACTTCATGAAAGATGATTGAGCAAAGTCATGCTAATTGATGGATGAACAATATCATGCACCTTACAATTTTTCCCTTTTAGCAGAGTGTAGTGAACTTGCGTACATGCCTATGAAAGTATTAATTCTCTTGACACAATTCTGGGAAACAAGTGCTGTACACAAAGTCTACTGCAACTCCAGATGTCATCACAAAGCAATTATCACAAGCGCATTTGAAACCAATGTGGATTGCAGCGCATTCCTGGGGAATAAAAAAGAAAATATTTCACACTTGAATTCGGCACAGAAGACCAAGAGGGACAAAATTTGAGACAGGCCTTCATTCTCGAATAGTGGGAATGATGGAATCATGGCGGGTTCTTCGAGTCGATGTGTCTTCTGATTCGATCCCACAGTTGGAGAGGGAAAGAGCAGCCGTCTTGTCAAAATCAATGGTTGCATATCGGTCTCCTCGGTTGGGGGAATCAAAGACATTGGAGGCTTGAGAACTCTCGGTTGAATGCCCTCCTGCAGGGACATTCCCATTGACATTGTCCCTGAGTAGGCTAGGATTCTCCGGTGATGTCCTTTCTAGGTCCAGCTCCACATAATTCATGCCTCCCAATCCAGGATCACTATCATTGCTTGTCACTGACTGACGCGTCTCTGCATTCTCTGAGTTCACAATCACATTGATATAGGATGGGCTCTGCATCTGCATCCCAATGCGAGCATTCACATAAGGTGCTGCTGGATTGTCCAAGAGCATGGGATTTTCATAGTCATCCCTATTTCGTTCACGAGTAGAAGAATGCTGATTACCATTTGTCTCTGTGTATCCTGTCTCTGACCCCAACCTGAAAATAGTATCAAACACAGGTATATTAATCAAAAATAAATACTCATATAGATATTCTACCAGATCTCATGAAAATAATATTTCAATGTTTAGATCTGCAAAAGATTAATTTGAAAACTTGAAGTTAGCCTCATATCTACAATTACAATTGCTGTTAATAAATTTGCATAGATATGCTCAACCACTAAAAGTATATAGAGGGCCTATATGATACTAACCTGTATCTTGTCTTTTATGACTGTAACAACCATATTACACAATGTGGTCTAAATGGCATGTTCAGATTATTCTAGCAGGAATCTGTATATGGTTTCAGCATTTCTTATTTTCTTTTTTGCTCAATATATAACAAAAAATTTAGATCTCCTGAATGGTCACTGTAGTTGTCTCTTTAAAGCTTTTTGTAGCATCTTGACAAAAGCTACATTGACTTTTAAACATCGGTGCCAGTACAAGAGTCAGATTGCATCCAGACTCATGTACCCAATAGGCTACAGAAAGCATCAACGAACCGTGGGCCATTGTTTGGCTGATGTGCAAGGACAACTCCACTCTGCTGTTGAACATGAAGCTGAAGAAGATTGAACAATGACTCAGCAGCTTCACATTTAAAGGCAAAGATCCCCGGACCAGTAAAGCAGCGTCGACCAGACTCAAAGCTGAAGAGCTTCAACTCAGGATCAAATCCATACCTGGGATGAGTAATGCAATCCAAGGCCTTGAAATATGATACAATATCCACTTTAATTCCTTGTGAATGAGGAAGGAGAAAAAGACCTGCGTAGACTTTTGAGAGGCCATATGATACTGGGCTTCCCAGTCTGATGGAGAATCAAATCAATGGGGGTGACTTCCAATTTCCCTGGGGTCATCCTGTTCCCTTCTTCATCCACATTCATGACAGGGAAAACATTAGGAGCCCTTCTTCTGTAGCAACTGGAAATGCAGCCCATGACTGATGCAGTGTACTGAAGATTCAGTCACAGGACAGCCATATCAGTGGCTTCCCCTTCATTGCCTCACAAGAACTGCATCTTGAAATGCATCAACTTCTCAAGTCTGTGGGAAGAATGAGACTTATATACATGATCATCACCCAGGATAGCACTTATTGTCTACCAGTGATGCCTCATTCAGGGTAACCACTCATTTGCTCCCATATTTACTGGGGCTGGATGAACTTTTGATATTGAGTCCAACATCTCACAAAACTGTTATTTGCAATACCAAATATCCTGAATTAGACCAAGGACATGAAACATGGAAAACTTAAATTAATTTACCACAGTAAAACGTTTGTTTGACTTTTCTACTGTCTTCTGCCTCCCTCCTTCCCCCCCCCCCCACTCCCACTCCCTCTGCACATGTTTATGAAGAGAGAATCTTCTACGTGATGAAATTCATGTGGTCTGTGGTCTGAAAGCAGGAATCACAGGGGTGAGGCCTGCCCTGCAAGCAGAGTTATAAGCTCAAAGAAATCTACTAAATAACCTTTGAACTTGACAGTTTTCAGTGGGAATTGGCTTAAGTATTCCCAAGTACAAATTCATATTTGTAATATTGCATTGAGTGGACAATGGAAAAAGTGTCCTAGAAGACATATTGCCTCAACCATTTTCTTTTGGCATAAACATCCTAGAAACTTCAAAAAGATCCTCCACCTAGCCAAAGCAAAAAACCACTGCTTCTTCCCTGGGATTATTGTAACTATGAAATACAACTAGATAACAAGACTCGTGTTCAAGTGAACATGAGTGGTGGGCTACTAAAGGAAACAGACTCCCTTATTGAATGCAAGGAAAAACTTACAATATTAACAAATGGTAGTGTCTATTGGCCGAGCTGGCTCGGCCTTGACTTGGGGGACAAGCTGAAAAGTCACCTGACTCATGACATCTCAGTTCTTAGACCAATACTCTTTAGAAGAGAGCTTGGCCTCTAAGTTGTGGCAGAGCTGGCTTTCTGAAGTGGAAAAGAATTTGTATGGTTAGGCTAAAGTCTTAAAAGATGTGTATTCTAGAGATATAGCTTTCATCATATTACTAGTGCCATGTGCATCTTTTTCAGCAGCTTCAACCAAAGAGTAACTATTAAGATGCAGGATTTGACAAAATCCTTAAAATCTATATAGTTAGGGTAGAGGGCTCACTCAAGGCCCCTAGTTGTGTAGAGAGTAGAGCCCTTAATGGGTGATTTCAAAAGTTGATTTCAATTTATCCATGTTCCAACACAAGACATCTTAAAGTAGTTAAGTTGCATGTCATCTACTTCCTAACCTGACATGATATAACACCTTTTAAACAACCATGATATACTACAATAATGAAGAGCTGTCTAGTTTTGTGCTGATGAGATGAAAAAGATTGCTCTAAAGTCTTCTCACAAGGCAAACGAAGCAGCTTCCTCTACCTACATGCCTGTGTTTTGTGGTCTGCAGGATACTATATTATGTTAGTAATAATGTTAGAGATTATTATTCCCAGCTCAGCCTTAAAGTCAGGGCCAAGCCAGCTTGGCCAATAGACACTGCCTTAACAAATACTGACTGAGTTTTTTTGTGCAAATTATATCCCTTATCCTACTTTTCCTTTTTTGCTTTCATGCTGAAGTTGCTAAAATTTTTCCTCCTTCCCTCCCCTTGGCTTAGATCAAGCTGATAACAAAATCTTTAAAAATTTCTCCATCACCATTTATGCTTATGACCACTTTTGTTTTGTTCATTAATTACTGCTTTGGCTTGCCAATAACTTTTGCTGACAAGTTATGCGAGACTGACTCATGATAAAAGAGCTGAGTCAGTGCCTCTTAAAGTCTTTGCAAAGCATGGTCATGAAAGGCCTAGCCTAGGCCTACCAGCAAGAATTCTACAAGGAGAAAAAAAAAATTGCACCTAGCATAAGAGACCTGAAGTTGTGCCAACAAGTCTTACAACACTAGCCTAATGTGATGAGATGACATATAGACATTGGTGGTAGTTTGCTCAAGCCTAACCTAGTGTTCTTAGACCAAGGTTAAACTTACCCCTATCCAAGGATTAATGTCAGGTAGTAGCTATAATCAGGACGGCATAGCCACTATTCTCTTCACAGTCTTACATCTTGCTCCCCTAAAGATTGAAAGTAGACAGAAAGGTGGTTTGGGACTCAGACGTCAATACCAAATGCTGCGAACTCAATCACTGGTCACACACTCACTTCTTGTGCACTGAAGTGCACAAGAAAAACGAAAACCAAGTGTCGAGTAGTTAGAATACCCAATGGTTGGATGTGGTGTGAAAAAGCTTGGTAACGCAATGGTTAACCCTAAATATAGGAAGAGCATGGGTTGCCCTGGAACCATTAGCTTAATGCTAGCCTCGAACCTAAGCTTTACGCCTACTTAAAAATGACTGGCTTCTTTTTCGGATTTACTCGATGCAATTAAAGTGCTGACCTCGAGGAATGGATAACACGAGAGTGAATGAGAGAAAGTGATGCCAAGGTGGAGTCAGGCAGCAGGCCGAGGCTCATTTCCTTGTCACGGTCCGTCGGTGTCCCTGGACCCTTGTCCCTCACTCCTCAAGCGGGCAGCCATGCTCCTACCTTCTTCTTGGTATGCGCATGCGCACTGCTCGCCGGGTAAAGGGGCGTATATGCACTTCAACTCTAGACGACAATACGCATGCGTATTAAAGATAGTGACATCAAGAGGCAATTTCGCCCATTTCGATATCACGTGTCGAGGTCGAGCGTTCCTTAAACGAGAGACCTACCGTTGTTTCGACCGACTTGGAGAACTTTACACTTACTTTTATAAAACCTCATGAGCCATTTCTTGCTCCACTCGTCCAAAAGACTTTTTTTGGTCCCACCTAAAGAAATTTTTAGGTGGGACCCCTGAGGGTCTTCAAAACTGACAGGTGCGAACGCCCGGCGATTACGACGATGGAAGATTCGAAAGACTGTTCATATCTCGTCATCGTTCGACCTCATCGATGGCAAAATGACGTCAATGATACATGAAGCCTCTCGGGAAATCGTCTCATAAGCCGTGATAGATACGTACAACGTATGAAAAGGCTTCACGTGTCTCAACCACAATATTCATGGAAGAATCACTGAACAAGCCCGCTGCGAGGTCGGTTGTCTCCTTTCCTCTCCTCTCCATGCATAAGCGCAGTGGCGTAGCCAGGATTTCTCCAATGGGGGGGGGGGGGGGGGGGG